TCCAGGAATGCCACGTGATCGCGTCCCCAGTGACACGTCTTCATCTTCAGCTTGAATCCGTCCTTTTTGAAGCGTTCCAAGACTTGGCGCACTTGCACTAAATGAGTAGGGAAATCGTCACTAAAGACGACACAGTCGTCCAGGTAGACCAGACAGACCCTCCACTTGAGATCAACGAGGATATTCTCCATCAACCGCTCGAAAGCCGGAACGGCATTGCACAAGCCAAACGGTATGACAAGCCACTCGTTCAATCCAAACTTGCTCGTGAACGCCGTCTTCTCCACACTGTCTGGATCCATTGGGACGTTCCAATATCCAGAGGCGATATCCGTGGTCGAGAAGAGTTTGGCGTTCCCCAAAACATCCAAGATGCCGTCGATCAACGGCATCGGGTGGCTGTCCTTCACCGTGACGGCGTTCAACTTCCTGTAGTCGATACAGAATCGAATACCACCGTCGGGCTTCCTTATCATAAGCACGGGACTCACCCACGGGCTCGTTGAAGGCCTGATGAGCCCAAGGTCTAAATACTCTTGAATCTCAGGCTCCATAACATCTCCTTCAGCATTCGAAACCCGGTACGGGGGCTGCTTAATCGGTGCATGCGTTCCAGTGCCAATGCTGAACCTCAGAAGTTCCGTCCTCCCCAGGCTTCTTGGAGGTCTTGACGAACAAATCTCGCATGTCCTTCAGCATTTCCACGAAGAGTCTCCTCTGATCCGCCCCTAACGATGAGTCTTGGAAGTCCACCTCGAAGTCATCGTCATCTCCGTTCTTCATTGCCGCGGTCATTTCCGCCTCTTCCGTCTCAACCCGAGTCTCGGCGTTCCTACTAGAGGCGCTTAATATCGCACTGATGTTCTTCGGCGTTCCCTCTCGCTCTGGTACTTCAGGAGTGAAGGCCGACTCTGGCACGACGGTCACAGCATCGAGGTAAGCTCCTGACTCGACTTCCACCTCTTCTGTAGAAGCATTGCACACCTCGACCAGCACCGCTCCGTTTGTCACTGTGCACAGCGTCCGAGCGACTCTCAGCGAATCGTCCGCTCCTGGAGCGCCCTCGACTAGCACAACCGACTTGTCCTTCACGGCTCCTCGAACTCTTAACCGCACGAGGGCTTGGCGACCCGGTTCCAGCCGTACTGACGACGATATTGTGACGGCATACGTCTCTTCCACCCTTGCCATGCCCAAGGGGGTCACGTCCCGTGTTCCCTTCAGCGTCATTGACTGCTCTTCGAGGTCTATCACAGCACGGAATGCCTTCAACGAATCCGTTCCGAGGATCGCGTCCACGAACAAGTGGTCGGTCTATACAAAAG